TGCTAAGCCAGGGTGCAGGGCACGGGGAGTGCCAGGGCCTTGAGAAAGCGCCGGAGAGAGGCCGGCTGCAAGTCAACAGCCTGCACATGGGCTTCAACGAACTCCTTATAGATCTGCCGCCGATGGGCGAATGCTGGCACCAGGTTCATGTTCAGCCGCTGCAGCACCTCCAGGAGAGCTGGCTCAGGCGTCTCGCGGAGGAAGTATGGCTCTGTTAGTACATCCCCACCACCTGGAGATGCCCAGGTCACAGTCACCATGCAGCCATGGGGCTTCGCACGGTACACAGGCACCAGGGCCAGGCGTGTGTGACTGAGGTGCCTATAGACAACCCTCACCAGGTCTTGAAAGGTAGGCAGCACCTTCGTCACAAAAGGAAAGAACCGGAGGAGGTGGGAGGCCAGGCGCTGCTCGCAGACCTCCAGGGACTTGAACTGGTGCCCTTCAGGCCCCAGGGCTTTCCACTGCCTGGTGAGAAAGGCACAGTATAGCGGAGCCATCAAGTGCCGGAGCAAGAAGGCATTCCAGGCTGCCTCTGTGGTGCCTGGGTCCTGGCGGAGCCTGCGTCTGGCCGCATCCACCGAGAAGTTGGCATTGATGTGCACAGGCAGTCCTGTGGTCAGCGGCAGTGGGAGGGTGCAGAAAGCTTTGCCCGTGGCTTTGTCCAAGCCCAGTGGATTCAGGCAGGCAGCCACAGCCCCGTAGGGCAGCCGCCCAGGCACTGGAGACTCCTCAGCCCCTTCCTGCACCCCAATTTGGGAGATCACCCGCCACACGGTGCTCGCCCTGGCCTTGCTGGTTTTGACTGTCATATTATAGGACACAGAGGTGGGGCTGTTGCTGTCCGTGGCTTGGCTCAATCTTTCTTGAAAACTTTGTCTCAGCACTGCATCACCATCTGTCAGCTCTGTGGTCACCCGCAGCCTCTCCAACACCTTCTGCCCACTGGGGGGGATCTCAGAGAAGATCACGGTGCGAAGGTGCCGGAGGAAGAGCATCAAGTTCTCACCTTCCTCAGCCAGTACTTCCTCCATGGCCCTGAGGTCTTGGTCCCGCACAACCATGTTAGACACCCTGGAGATGGTAGCCCCAACTGGAGTGCGGAGGGGCAGCCGGAAAAGGACACCCTGGTTCAGGTTGAAGATGGAGGGTAGGAAGGTGCCATAAATATCTGGAAAGGTCCTCTTGAATTCAGGGTTGACAGCGAACATCCCACCAGGGCTCTCAGTTGTGGCTCCTGGCACGTAGTAGAGATGGGGATCAAAAACACACAGGGCACTGTCTCCAGTCAGGAAGGCTGGGCAGTCAGTAAAGTGGAAGACAGTGTTGAAGCCAAGGCCATATCTGCCTGTGACATCCTGCCGGCCTTGCTTGCCACCCACCCCCAGTTGCTGAATGCCTTCGATGTCCTGCTGCTGGAAGGAGCTGTCATTGTAGATGCAGAGGGCAGGGCCCTGCAGGAAGTTCCAGTGCTCACTGAAAGTGGTATCCGCGGGGTGCTGCCGGCGGTCCCACACGAAGTGCACAAGCCTCGCACCAGCATCATCCGCATTCTGGAGCAACTCTGTCACTATGTCACGAGCGGATGCTGGGTGCTCCCCCAAGATGTTCTTCAGCCGTGTAGGCAAGTCTTCACGGGCACCAAACGGCTGCACCCAGTGGCTCAGATCTGCAGTGAGCAGTCGGCTCCTCTCCAGTGCCCAGTGCCGTGTGGTGGGCACCCCACAGTGCAAGGCTGTGGCTCGGGACAGCTCTTCATGGCACAGCAGGACACGTCCGTCCACTGACATCCATGGCGTATCATTGAAGTGGAGCTTGTCCCGTGGGCGCAGAATGCCCTCCTGATCAGGTAGAAAGAGTTGCTGGGTCTGGTAGGCATCCGGCTTTTTGTCATCTGCCATCAAGCCACAGCCCCCCAGCCGCAAGGCCAGAGCCAGCTCCGCAGCAGGCAGCGGCTCTCCAGCATGCAGCTCTGCCAGGACGCAGAGCACTCGGGCATAATCATCCCAGGTGAACGTGTGGCGCAGCCCCACACACTCCCAGAGCTGGCTGTAGGGCTGGTACTGCTCTGGGAGCTGGTGAAGATATGGGGCAGCCTCAAATGACAGCGTCTCAGCCACAGCCGTGACTGGCGCAAAGTGGGAACCCACCAAGATGAAGGGCTCCCCTTGGGCCACTGCAGAAGCCACCTCATCCCAGCTGGAGTGATCCCTCTGGAGCAGCATGTGCAGGTACCTGTAGCAGCGGTGGGTGCTGTCCTGCAGGTTCTCCAAAGCAAGAGCGTTGGAGCTACAGCTCAGTGCCTGCAGCTGCTCAAGGACTGTAGCTGCTGGTAGCTGCCGGTCCAGCCCCAAGAAGGACGCAACCTCCTTGGGGAGGCTGAAGTTTTCTCCCAGCATTTTAGGAGCCAAGACAGGGCGGATGAGTCCCACTAGTGGGGCGTGGAGGTGATGGTAGAGCTGGGCAGCTGGCAACAGCACATTTTCGCCAGTGGGAAGTGTACCAGGGAGGAAGGGCACAGCCTGGAAAGCTGCCTGCATGGTGTTGTTCACCCTGTCCTCCACCGCATCCCGAAGCAGCTCAAGGATGCAGGCAGCCCTCCGGCAGCCCTGGGTGCGGTCCTCAGACCAGATAAGCTGCACTGTCTTCGCCCGCTCCAGCAGCTCTGGCAGGGTCGTTGTGTCCTTAACCATGCCCAGCCTCTCCAGTTGGCTCAGTCTTTCTGGGGAAAGGAAGGCATCCCCCGTGGGGAAGCGCCCATCCTTAGGGTCATACAAAGCGGCGGTGCGGCCTCTGGGATGCACCAGGCGATTGATGAGCTGCAGGTGGCCATGAGGGGTGGCAGGAACGCAGGGCACTGTCTGCAGCACTTTGTCCACATCGTCATGGGACATATCCAGCGCATGGAGCAGCAGCGCGTCCCGGTCGACAACAGAGAGGTCTTCCAAGTTGGGAAGCACCAGCTCGCAGTAAAAGCGTGGCCAGTCATAGGTGCCAGCATCCACTGCCTTCCCGAGGCCCCTCTGCACGTGCTCTGGCAAGGCCACAGCTAACAGGGGACGAGGCAGCGTGGTGGCAAAGACACGCTTCGCCACGGCACCCAACTTGGGGTGTCCGACCACAGCCTGGTGCAGGAAGCGGGCGTTCTGCAGTGAGCACCATGAGCAGCCATCAGAAAAGAGCCTGGGGCTGCTCCTGGCTGCCACAGCCTGGTAGAAACCAGTCACAGCCTCCGTAAAGGGGTAACGGGCAGCGCTGGTGTCCGGCCAGAAGACGTGATATTCATAGCCCTTCAACTCACCTGTCTCCTGCATGGTGCGGAGGTGGTCCAGCGCCCGGAGCCAGGCAGCTGGCACAGCATTGCGGAGCAGCACCCGGTTCCACTCACCCCGCTCTGCCGTGTCCCACAGTCCCTTGCGGTTTGAGAGGATGCTGAAGGCCCCGTGCACGTGGATTGGCAGCCCTGAGGCGATTGGCATGGGAAGGTGGCAGAAGACTTTCCCCTCCTCGGCACCCAGGCGCGGCACCCACTTGCCATCTGCAGTAAGGGCAAGGGGAAGGGCCACACCAGCCATGGGAGGTGGAGGATGGAGCCCTGCCTCTGTGTTCCGGTGAAACAGTTCCAGCAATTCCCCCTCACCCCGACACACCAACACTAGGTAGTGCCACGTGGTCTTGGCTGCCTCTTCGCAGGCTGTGAGCTGCTCAATGACTGCGCAGCTTGGGGGTTCCCCAGGGGCCCCCAAGTCTCGGATCTCCTTTCGCCGCAGCGTGGCCAGAGGCATGGTCTCCTCCGCAGAGGTGGCTGTGTCTGTCAGCATCTCCAGGGACATCTCCTTCACCCTCTGCAGGAAGAGCAGCAGGAGCCGGTTAGAGCCAAGGAAGCTGGCGCCAAGAGAACGGACGCGCTCTGTACCAAAGGCTTCTGAGCAAATCTGGGATGTCACGGCTTCCTCTTCAGTGCGAAAAGGCAGGCGAAAAAGGCTCCCTGGAAAGGGTCCTGGCTCAGGCAGGCGGCACCCAAAGATACCATGGTAGGGCGAGAACTGCTCAGCAAAGGCACGGAGGATGCGTGGTCGGTTGGAGAAGTCCAGGCGGATGCCAGGGCAGCCAGCCCTGGGGATGTGCTTGCCCAGATGGGTGCCGTTGGGATCAAAGATGAGCAGCGTCTCTCCACTCAGCACCGCTGGCACGTCTGTGACCCGGTAGACAGAGCTGAAGCCCAGCCCAAAGCGCCCGATCTGGCCTTCCCGGCCCTCCTTCGTGGCAGCCCCAACCCGTGTGATGTTACGGAGGTCATCTTCTGTGAACAGGGCATTGTTGTAGGCCCAGAGGGCTGGCCCATGGCAGGCAGCCATGTCGGGGTCTAGCAGCCCGGAGGTGGCCTTTCTGCAGCGTCGGAGGTCCAGGAGGAAGCAGCACACAGTAGCTCCAGCATCCTCTGCGTTCTGGACGATCTCTGTGAAGAGGTCGCCCTCCTCGCCGTACTCCCGGAGGATGTTGCGAAGCCGTAAGGTGATGGGCTCTGAGGGGCCGCAGGCTGTGAACGGCTCTGGCCCCAGCACCCGTGTGCTGAGCAGCTCCGTGCCGAGGAATATGGCTGTGCTGCATGGCACAGCCTCATGCACCACCTCCTGAACATCCTCCTCTGCCTCCAGCTCCATGTCCAGGTATACGGTAGAGGCAGCCGGGCGGAGGGCAAAGCCCGAGCCCTCCAGGGTCTTCACAGGAACTGGCACCGTGCCCTCTCCCCAGTGCCCCCGGCTCTTCAGCCACTCCAGGACAGCTACGGCCACCTGCAACTCTGCCGCAGTGCCAGCTCTGGAGCTGCGTGCGTCTATGTCCTGCGCCAGGCAGCGCAGGGCTGTCACTGCCCTCTCCTCACTCACCCTCGCCTCCACGCCCCAAGCCCTGAAGAGGCAGCTGTAGGGCAAGAAGTCTGGGGGCACCTGGGGCACCAGCATCCCCAGCTCCAGCTCCTCAGGATAGCCCAGCACGGCGTCACGTGGCAGGACAAACCCAGCTCCGGTCCACACCACAGCATCACCCGGGGCAGCCCCGAAGGTCTTCAGGTTTTCCTGCATGTGCCGGTAGACAGGGTGGAGCGCGGGACCGACCTCACCCACGTCCCTGCACCCCACCAGCTGTCTCAGCTGCTCCCACACCCTCTCGGGCGGTGGGGTCTGGCTCAGCCCCAGCTGCTTCTCTGCCTCTGGCACAAAGGCGCTGGTCAGGTGCATGGCACGCCCGACCAGGGGGTTGGGTGGACCGCAGCTCCCTGGGGGGCAGGAAGGGCTGCCCCGACGTTCTCGTGCACTTGGAACGGGGCACCCATGGCAGGTCCTGGAGCTGCTGAAGCTCTTCAGTGCTGAAGCCAGCCAGTGCCTTGGCGTGGTTGCAGACCTCGATCAGTGCCTGAGCCCTGTCCAGAGCCGCTGCGTCACCCTGACTCACGCTGGCTGCAGCCTCTAGGATGTCTGAAGGCACCAGGCACCCCTCACCACGCCGCAAGCCCAGGGCTCTCAAGGCATGGAGGACAGGCGGACTGCGGAAGGCGGCAGGAGGGAAGCGCTCAGGGCCCAGCAGTGCCTGCAAGGTGCTCTCGCCGGGGTCGTAGAGGTCTCGCGGGCACACGGGGCCGTTGGGGGTCTCCAGGAAGGCCAGCCTGCTGCAGGCCTGCTGGAGCGCGGGGGTCTGAGCGAAGAGGACGTCTCCG